GGCGGCGGAGCAGCTGCGGGTCGGTGTGAAGGCGAGATCCAGCCGGAGACGCGCAGGTAGGATTAGTACAACACAGCTCCTCCCCCCGCTTCCCGGCCTCGTGGCCTCGTCCTCCCCACCCCCTGCCCGGCTCAGCGCAGGGGACTGACCCAATCCGTGCTCGCGGGGGCGGGGGTGTTAGTGGTTGGCATAAACAGATTAAGCAATTGCTTAGGGCCTCAAGCAGCTCAAGGGCCCCCCATTATTAGTATGTGTTGAGGGGGGCAAAAATATTCCAGCTTAGGGCTCCCAGAGTACTAGCACCAGCACTGGGGGGCTCTGTGGCTGGCCCTGGCCCCAGCCCTGAGGCATGGCCATCCCCAACCCTGGCCTGGTGGTGTGGTGTGCCCTGGCCATGGTATTATCCTGTAACTATATCATGGGTAGGGCACTACCAAATTCACATCTGTGAAAAACGTATCATGGACTGTGAAATCTGGTCTTGTGTGTGCTTTTACCCTATACTATACAGATTTCACAGGGGAGACCAGCCTTTCTCAAACTGGGGGTTGCAGTATTTGCCACCCTTACCTCTGCACTGCCTTCAAAGCTGGGCAGCCAGAGAGCGGCAGCTGCTGACCCAGGGCCCAGCTCTGCAGGCAGCAGCGCTGAAGTAAGACTGGCAGTGCCATACCATGCCATCCTTGCTTCTGCACCGCTGCTGGTGGCAGCACTGTCTTCAGAGCTGGGCTCCTGGCCAGCAGCCCAATTCTGAAGGCAGTGCTGCCGCCAGCAGCGCAGAAGTAAGGGTGGCAATACCACGACCACCCTGCAATAACCTTGCAACCCCCAACAATCCCCTTTTGAGTCAGGGCCAGTACAGTTATAACACTGTGACATTTCAGATTTAAACATTTGAAATCATGAAATTTCCATTTTTAAAAATCCTATGACCATAAAATTGACCATAATGGACTGTGAATTTGGTAGGGCACTAGTCATGGGCCATGGTGGAAATTTCCATGTCTCATTGTTGGCGAAGCTTAGCAAAAGAGGGGTGTCTGCATCCCAGGGAAGAGGGGACGTTGGACAATGTTGATGTAAGGCACTTGGCATTAAGCCACATGCACCAGCATCCACAAGAGCCACATGTGTTGCTCCTTTAGGGATGTGGCTTGTTGACTGCAGCTTTTACTTTTACTTGCTTCCATGTGAGGACCCCATTGTGCAGCACCGTTAAGGATGGTGTCAACCTAAGTTGTTTGAAACAAGCCTATTTTCTGATCAAGTACCATTTAAATAGCATGTTTTGAAAAAGTGTTAAGTGTTAAAAAAACAAAAACAAAAATCTCCCCTTTTTTACATAATTCTTTTCTGCTCCTCTTTCTGTATAGAAGTTTCTTTTCAAAAGGGAGTGACTGACTACAAGGGAAACAGTGAAATTGCTTTGTGTCAAGTGCTGTCAGCTGCACCAAGAAGACAAGCTGGGGAGGCAGAAAGATATTGGAGGCGGGTTGGGTCTTTTGGGGGGCTTGGTTCTAAAACTTTTTTTAGTTACAGGAAATTTAGGTTGCATCTACACTAAGAATTTATCTGAAATTTCCTACACCTTCTGCCACTTGTGCTAGCAATGGGTTAGGGAAGAGAAGCTAGTGTAGGTCAAACTCCTGTTAAAGTCAGCAGTGTTCCACATAGGTGTAGGTGTCTGTGCATGTGGCGCTTGTTGCAGAGTCGGGGGTCATATTATTTCACCTGTTCAGAGCAGATTCAGCCAACATCAGGGGGCAGAAAAAACAGTGGCAGCCAGTGCCTTGTCTACATTAGCATTTCCACAGTTGCTGTCACCACTGGAATTACAATGGTGGGAAATGTTACGGAAGAATCCCTAGGAAATACAGTTGGCACAAAATCTTCAGGCAGAAATGTGACACCACCATTCCCAGTTGATAGTGTCCCCTTAACTTGTTTTTTTGGACGATGTACAGGACTAAAATGATTTATTCCTCCCTGTCCTGTAGTTCACCATTAGATACTGTGCCAACTTATTATTTGGTCTTGCTGCTGAGATTTAGTTAAAAACTGCTGCAGCATCCATGTAGATCCCCCCAGAAGCACAGGTTTCCAAGCAGTTGCTTATGGTTTGGCTTGTGTGCAAATATGTCTTCCTTGAGGCCATTTATGTATGGAAACGTATGAGCCACAAATGGATGTTTTGTTATTTTGAAAGTTAAAAGGTACATTGATTTATATATTATTTTATTACTAGGAAATAAACAATCAAGTATTTTGAAAAATGAAGATGTAGCACAAAGGTATGATATCTAACTAATGTTATACAGTAATAGCAATTGTTTACTTTAGAGTTCTCTCTTCTTTATAGAATGTCTTTGTGCTTTTTCAGAAACTTCAATAACTACCGTATGTATAGGAGATACCTACTATTCTAATAATATTTAGCAAGTTTGTCTGCTATTCAGCACTGTAAGATGTTTTAAGCAACCCCGCAGATTTGTCTTGAGTTATCATATGCCTACCTTATCCTAAGGTAACAATTAATTACATTCACAAACTTAAGAGTGCCAAATGTTGCATAGTCAAGCATTCAGAAGTTAGGAAATGCCAGTATTAGAGCTGTCTGCAATCTTAATTTGACTTCTTTGTGTGTATGATTACAGTCTTTAATTGCACAATTACTTGCTATTTTTTTCCACAGGACCCCTGCCTTATTCAGTGCACAGACTGGACAGTGCTCACGTAATGCGAAACCCCATTAAATATTTTGTTTTCTCCTCATTGTTTGGTGTGTGGTCTCAGGCATTATTTACTGCACGCTATTCAAATCTTGCTCTGATTACAGAATTCTTACTTCCTCATGGGCTTTTATATGGTGCTCATCACTGAAGTCTCTGAATGTTTCACAAGCAATTTATTTTCACAACACCCTTCAGCTCAGAGGAGGTATCATCATCTCCATTTTGCAGATGGGAAAATGAGGCACAGAGGTATTAAGGACGAAAGTATCCATGAATTTTGAGTTGCCCATTTTGAGATTCCTAGGGCATTTTTAGAGTACTTAGCATTATATAGTACCATATATGTTCAAAGCACAGCTTACATTGACTTCAGTTGTAGCTGTGACTGCTCAGTGCTTATGCAGATCAGATCCCCAGGTCTCAAGTTAGTCACCCAGAAAGTGAGGAACACATGATTAGGTTTTGTACAGACAACCTCAGTTCTGGCATTTCTTAACTTTTGAGAGCTTGACTTTTCAATCTTAACATTCTTTTAATTTAGTTTTTTATGTGTTTCCTAGGTTTTTTAAAGAAAGCAAACTGAAAAAAACAAGTTCCATCATGTGGAACTTCCAGCAGCAAAGTTATAACTCGACTTGAATTTTTGTTGGTAAACATTGATTTCACCATACACATGCAAACCAGCAAAAAAAATATTTCAATTGATTATGACTGAAATTTACAGATAGGCAAAGTAAGAAAAATGGTGCTTGAGAGCTTATTTGAGTTTGCTTTAAGGATATTCACTTTGTCAACATCACATGTCAAAATATACTGTCTGTGTTTTAATGGTTATAAAGTTTTTAACTTTTTGAATCTCAGCATCTGCTGTCATTAAATAATTATTGTCTTACTCCCCCTCTTGTCTGATCTCCATAATTTCCCACACTTGTGGACATTGAAATAGATAAAAATAGAAAAAAATGTTAATCATCATCATTTTGTGCAACTGTGAAAATTTAAATCTGTAAAAATCGAGAAAAAGGTGCTTAAAAATACACATTCATATTATCCATTGAAATTATTAAAAACAAAACAGAACTCTGTCATGGCTGGTTGTAATCTTTAGATGTATAGCACAGACTTCTGCCTCTTGAGCTAATGGAATAATTGGTAGGAGCAGTATGTTGTCATCCTCAACATGGTTCAGACACTAGAGGGGGATGAGATGCATGCTGTGCCATTGAGCTTCACAGATATTTGCTGACAGCAGAGGAATGGTGAGACTTGGGAATCTTGGGTTCCATTCCAGTCTCTAGAGGGGGGTATGCTGTGGTGGGCATGTATCCTTCTGCCCCTGTTCCTTCCAACCTGTCTCTGAGTTCTTTTCATTACCTTCCTAGGCTCTTTATCCCAGTCCCAATCTTCTTGTCCAGACAACTCTTCTACCTAAGGGCATGAAGGTTTTTGCTATTAAAAGAAAAATGTCACCCACTAACCAGAGTACGTGTGGGAAAACATTTACATGCTGCTTTTCTTACAGTCCTGACTTCTGGATGTTGTGCTTCATTTACTAAATCTTTTGCCTTTTACTTGGGCACTGGTTCAGAGTTACATATTAATCCTGTTGCAATGATGTATTTACTTCCCAAATGAACTGTTTTCTCCAATAAAGATTGTTCAGACTGCCTGTGGGAGAAGGCCTGGATACTTCTCCAAGAACTTGGGGGGTGGAATGCCAAACCAGGTTTGGAAAACTCACTTAATGGTTCCTGGTTGCCACAAAATTCTAGTCTAAGTGGAATACACTGCTGTGTGAGGTCATCGTAGCAAAATGCATACCAGAGCATTAAAATGCTACACTTTGTATAGGAGAGAGACAAAAGATATGTTTGAGAGAATTGTGTATGGTAAAGTGCTGTCTATGTAATTCAATATTTACTCTGTTGTAGGAGGGCAGCACTTGAGGCTGCTATTAGAAAGAAGTTTGAATATGAGAAAAAAGCTCTGCGTGTTGTTGAACAGCTATTGGAGGAAGATATTACAGAAGAGTTCCTTGTGAATTGTGTACGTGTTTCTTTTGCAAGTTCTTATACTAATTTGTGTCCCTAGCCTCTGTTTGCCAGAAGCTGGGAATGGGCGACGGGGTGGATCACTTGATGGTTACCTGTTCTGTTCATTCCTTTTGAAACACCTGTCGAATGACAGGATGCTGAGCTACATGGACCTTTGGTCTGACCCAGTATTGCCATTCTTACGTTCTTAAAGTTCTTTTTAATTCTTGTAACAAATTTGTGTGGGTAATAACCATTCAATCATCCAGTTTCTCTTTCAGTGCTAATGTACCCTCCTCTGTTCTTGCTTTTAATATTTCCACTGTGAAAATATATATGTCTTGTTTTGTTTTTAAAGGCCTGGTTTTGCCAGCCTTACTCATGATGAGTATTGCTTACTTAGGTGAGTAGTTCCACTGCCTTTAGTGGCTCATGGATTCCAGATTGATGAGTGTGGTGTAAAAAGTTAGGATCAGATCATCTCCTCTGTGGGAAGGGGCTTTAGAGAAAGGCCCCATGATACCACCCTTTGCCCCATATGACTTCCCTGGCACCACAGCTTCACTAGAGCAATTCAAGGACTACCCGTGTTGTGGTTTCCCTAGGTGAGGCTCTGCAGAAAAGATAATACAGCTCCAGGTTGTATATCTTTTCTGGCTACTCCCAGTTGGCCCTGCAGAATTTAATATGTGGCTGAGCTTCCTCTGCACACAGTAGGAGAGAGAGCCATGTGCAGAGGGCGTGCTCTGAATCCATATATAGATATGATATGATATGATATGATCCAGGTCACAGATAGTATTAGTCAGCATGATGTAAGGGATGTAGAATCTGGTCCATGGGGAATATATTATGTTGCAGGCATTAGCATAAAAGTGTTAAACTGAAACACTCTTGTGAAGATACCAGACAAATGCTCTATTATATTTTATCTCATGTATATGTTAAGTAGATCTGGGCAAACATTTTTGCAGTTGACTCTGAGTTCAGCTTCTATAAAACAAGTTCTCTTCTACTTGGTGCTGAAAATTTTTGGCAAGGTATGTACCATGGCTTGGGTACTCTTGAAAAATATTTAGCTGGACAGACTTACCAAAAACATCCATATTTTGGGTGTACCTTTTCTTCAAATTGTGCCCAAGGCCATAAGCACAGTTATTTTACTAAGTATTCATCACTTAAACAATAATATAAATGTAAAAGCATGAAAAGTGTCACTAGATTTATAATGTGTACCATGTAAAAAGTGCCAATTACGCTATATACACAGTGGAAATATTAGCCATTTACTGACAGAGAGGGAAACTGCGGAAATAACTTTATCACAAAGTTATCTAAGTAAAAATATAAGATGTTGATAATAGTACTGTCTATACACTTGCTCACATCTTACTGTGTGTGCTTACCCCATTACCATTTTTAATCTTTTAACTTCTGCTTTTTAAATAGTAGTGGGTTTACTAATTTTTTTTATGAACAAACTTAAGCATTCATGTACTTCTGAGTTTTGAGAGTTATGATACAGTTAATGCTTTTAAAGTAAGTCTGTTGAACTATTTTCTAATGATTTTAGGGAAGTTTTATTACCCCATCTCACTATAAGGATGCTGTGGAGGAGCGTTTTATCATCAAACTCTGTGGCTATCCCTTATGTCGAAATGGGCTAGAAAATGTAAGTTCCTTTTTAATTAATATTTTGATGTTAAGAGCTCTTCAGCCTTTCTTTATCTTTTCCATTCTCTCTTTGTCATTCTAATCATCTGAGCAGGAAACATTCTGTGTTACTCCCAGGTGAAGGTCCTGTTGCTCCCCCCTAAAATCTCTCTTAATTAAGGGGAAAGATTTAATTTGCTTATTTGGCTATCACTACTGCATGACTGAATCCTTTGTCATCTTTGTAAACTGAGAAAGAATAATATGGATTAAACATTATGGATTCATGACTCCAGCTGTACAACAGGAAAAGTTTATTTCCCATCCTAGAGTTTTCTTTTCAGTGAAAGCACATATCTCCATGGGAAAAGAGGCTTATAATGTTTAAAGACAATATTTCCCCATGGATACATTTTAGAACTCTTTGTTACTTGTCTGGATAGGATGGCTTCATAGGAGCCTCACAACTGTGGTGTTATACTGGGGGACTCAGAGTGATCGCAGAGGTATAGATCTGTCTGCATAGGCCCTCAGGAAGCATAAATGAGATTTTAGAGTGTGAAGTACAGTTACATAAACTGTGTTGTAATGCTAGCTGCAGTATAGTAGGTAACTAGTTAAATCTGTTTAATGCTTTTCTATTACAAGTAGGAAATAACACTTCCTAGATTTAAAAAGTAACATTAATGCTCTCAATCCCTAAATTTGACACTTTAAGTAAGTAAATTTCCATGGTACTAGTATTTGTACTCTGACAACTAGATCTACTTGTTTCTGGAGTTTAATCTCTCTATTAATGTCACATCATAATACAAAATAGGACTAGCCTCTGTTGTACAATTGAAGTCTAATGACAATAGTATCAATTTAGTAATTCCAGTATGGCAAATATAGTCAGGAAAACAAAATAATCTGTGTTCTCCTTAAACTAAAGTGAAAGATCTATGTCTTACATGTTTCTAAGACTCTTATTTCCATGGGATAAAAGCACTATTTAGTATAAGATTTTCTAGGTCAAATGTTAAAGGATATTGCTAATTTCATAGATTTGGACACTGCATCTAATCATTAGCTCCAACTCATGCTTTATAACATACAAGAAAGTCTATTTTGTGGGGGTCTTGGGGGATGCAATTTCTGTTACATGTTTGAAATACTTCAATTAAATACTGATGACAGATGACCAGATTGTGTCATCCAATACCTTCATACAGAGTGGAGGATGCTCTGTGTGTGGTTGCACATGATGGGGAGTGTCAAACACCTTTAGCACTATTGTCCCCCTTCCTAACACTCGGCAAAGAGCTCTCTACTGGGTCGGGTTTATGTGTTAGAAGGGAGGAAATCTCTTACATGGTCCTTCCCCTGGCCCCGCAGAGATTTACCTGGGCTACTATTTTATCTGCTCCGTGGAGCCATCTCTGTGGTAGTCAGAGGGCATAACTTGTAGGACAGCTTCATAGGAGCCTCACCAATGTGGAATTAGAGTGGGGGACTCACAGCTAGCACAGAGGCCTCCTGCAGCTCTCCATACAACAGTTACACATGAGTAATGTTACTTTTGCAGGTAGTCCCATTGGCTTATATATTCCAGTCACCTAATTTGTAACTGTAATTTTTAACATGTGGTTTAAAACAAAAGATTGATCTGAAGTTATTATCCTGGTCTCATTGGTAAGTGTATTCCTTTTTAGGTGCCAAAACAGAAGTACAGAGTTTCAACAAAAACAAACAAAGTTTATGATATTACAGAAAGAAAGGTAAGGTTTCAAGTCTTCCTTTAACGTATCTAATTTTGTCTCCTACTTTTATTTTTGCAACGGCTTTCTTATCAAACCTTGTTCAATCACCAATATACATTTTGTTGTTAGCAAAATGGGTTTTACAAACCTGTAGAGTATAAAATAGATAACCACTCTGTCTCTCTATGCTACCTACCTTTTAAAGGAAAATGCTATATTGTGCTTATATTTAAAAGGAACACAGTGCAGACAGTTGCAGTCCAACAGAAAGATCTTATTTGCATGTAAATTCAAATCTGACAATACTGATATATTGCAGATACATTTGTGAGCAGGTGGCTTTCTCAGCCTCCTCCAAATCAAAGATTATATAGTTTTCATAGGGTCAAAGTTCATCCCCATCATACAGTTGGATTTTTATTGACAAAGAAACTAACAACAGCATAGCACAAATTCCATCCTAAGCCCACCAACAGCTTGACTACTCCTAGTGTTCTTTTTTGATTACTCTGCAACTTAGACCTTATTTCTAGGCAACTGCTCCCTTATATTAGGTACAGAGTTCATAATCTGTTTGCAGTAGTGAATCAAAGGCATCCCTTGGCATTTCCCAGCAGGATCTATGCAGAATAGCACTGCCAGCCTATCATATGATCCGAGATTTTTCTCTCTTCTCTCCATACATAATGTCCATACTGGGTCAGAGCAGTGATCCGTCTAGCCCTGTATCCTGTCTTCTGACAGTGGACAGTGCCAGATGCATCAGAGGGAATGAATAGAACAGGGCAATTTCAAATGATCCATCCCCTGTCATCCACTCCCAGCTTCTGGCAGTTGGAGATTTAAGGACACTTGGAGCATGGGGTTGTGTCCCTGGTCATGTTGGCTAATAGCCATTGACAGTCTTATTCTCCATGAACTTATCTAATGCTTTTTTTTGGAAGCTATTTATAATTTTGGCCTTCGCTGTATCCCATGGCAATGAGTTCCTCAGATTGACTGCATTGGATGAAGAAATTCTTCCTTTTTTTTGTTTTAAACCTGCTGCCCATTAATTTCATTGGGTGACTCCTGGTTCTTGTGTTATATGAAGGGGTAAATAACACTTTCTTATTCACTTTCTCCACACTATTCATAATTTTATAGACCTCTGTCATATCCCCCCTTAGTTGTTTCTTTTTCTCAGATGGACAGTCCCAGTCTTTTAAGCGCTCCTTGCATATCCCTAATCATTTTTGTTGCTCTTCTCTGTACCTTTTCCACTTCTAATATATCTTTTTTTGAGATGGGGTGACCAGAACTGCATGCAGAATTCAAGGTGTGGGCATACGCTGGATATATATAGTAGCATTATGATATTTTCTGTTTTATTGTCTATTCCTTTCCTAATTGTTCCTAACACTCTGTTAGCTTTTTTGACTGCTGCTTCACATTGAGTGGATGATTTCAGAGAACTATCCACGATGATTCCAAGCTCTTTCCTGAGTAGTAACTGCTTATTTAAACCCTGTAATTTTGTATGTATAGTTGGGATTATGCTTTCCAATGTGCATTATTTTGCACTTATCAACATATAGTTCATTGGCCATTTTGATGTCCAGTCACCCAGTTTAGTGAGATTCCCTTTGTAACTCTTTGCAGTCTGCTTTGGACTTAACTATCTTGAGTAATTTTGTATCATCTGAAATTTAGCCACCTCACTGTTCACCCTTTTTTCCAGATCATTTATGAATCTGGTGAGCTGCATCTTACAGGTGTGGTCAGATGTTTGGCTGCGTGTGTGTGTTCTTTCTGCGTGCTGTGCTGACCCTGGCCAGATAGTCCGTATAGAAGGCTCCAATTTAAACTGCCCAATAGATCCACAGACTCAGGTCATAGCAAAGGCACTTGGTCAGGTTTATTGTTAATGAAGCACGGTCCTAATGTCCTGGATCAATGGTTACAGGTACACTAACACATGTATGCCTGTTGCAATGGACAAGCTGAGTTAATGGCGGGACTTTCCGTTATCCCCTAGGCCAGCCAAAGACACTTCCTCTGAGATAAATTTTTAAACATAGATACAAATAAGTTATGTATTACCCCTGATGGATTTGGGTGCCACCTATTACCGTATACATGTTGCTTCGATCAAAACATCTCTATCCATCATGCTATCATCCTGACCTTATCTTTAGGATGGGTCAGTGTGTTCCTGTTATCTTTGGGGAATGTGTTTGGTATCGAGGTGTTCTGGTACTAGGGTTGCCAGGTGTACAGTTTTCGACTGGAACACCTGCCAGCTTCCAGAATACCAAAATAGTATGGCAATAAAGTCATGCTGAAATGATATGAAGCAGCAAGATCATAGGGCAAAAGACACAGGGCAATATTTATCATTTTGTGTTCAAAGTGCATATGATAGAAAAAGGTTTCTTCCTT